ATCAGTGATCGGCAACTTAGAGCCTATATGACTCAATTGCCTTTTATAAGAAAAAGAATCAGTAAAGAGACCTTGGCTTCTACTCGAGGGTTCTTTGAAATTACAACCCTAATATATGTATGACTTATGACATTCCTTTCCTATTCAAGGGTTTATTAGTGATTTTTTAGATGTTATAGATTAGGCATATGACAACTACACCTTAGTGGGTAGGGATAATATAGATTAAGCTTAGGACAAGTGCACCTTAGTGGGTAGGTTATCTTGTTAACATTTGACAAGTTTCTCAGATTTGTCAATATAGAGCCTACCGTAAACCTCATCTAGGTTAGTTACCAATTGGTCATAAATACTGATAGTAGTACCAATATTCGATGGTTTTTTACTTTTACCAATTAACCTAATGGAGCCATGGGAAAAGTTCTCAAGGGAAAGCCCATGTACCTAAAAAAATAGATAGGAAGGTGGGTTCATCATAAGGTACACTGAGATAGCAAGTCCTTGGGGAGGTATATACCAAATTTATGTCTGTTCTTATCATTGGAAGGAAGTTATCGTGAGGTGAACAACAAACTATGTTTTTTATCCTAGTGATGAGGAAGCTCTTGCGTTATTGGCTTTTACCACAATGAAGTACGAAGTCAACAGGATATCTAAAGAGGAATACCCAAACATATTGCAAAGTATGTAACTTTATCTCCTTTTATCTTTGTTCAGTTAAAAATAACTTTTGATTTCATTTTTATACGGGGTTGACATCTAAGGAAGAACTTGAGACCTCTGTCATATCATTAAGAAGGAGCTTGTTGTCGTCAAGATAGATGTTCTTATTTTTTAAAGAAAAAATTAAGGCCTGATTCTTATGTATGAGCTTTTCATTTTTAAGGTTCTAGTTTATGAGGAAGCAATGGTGGGGGGCCAAATTCCTACCAAGAGAAAAGTTGAAAGAGTTATACCTCTCTGTCAAGGGGTCATGCTAACTAGACTCCCCTAAAAGTGATTGTAGGTATCGTTGCTTATTTTAAATGAAGGTTGTTGTTAGCGGGAGGTTTGGTTTTGGTAAGATAAGCTTGGAAATGGTGAGGCAGTTAGACAGGATCCTTAAAATTCCTTCAGACATCCTCTAAATGTCTATTAAAAGCTACCATTGTCATTTGGCTTTAACTAGCCAAATGGCTTTTAATGTAAGGAATCTATTTTCTATCTTCTTTTTTTTTTTTAATTATTTAGCTTTCTTCCTAACCTTTATCCTTAATAAACTTTCATGATGTGCACCAACTCCAATAGATATCGGAAGGTTAAGAGGAGCCAAGTAAGGGATGTTATTGTCAGGCATATAGCAGATCATAATGCACTTTACGAGCTCAGGAAGGAGAATATCATCATAGAGGACTAATTGAGAGATTTAAAGGCAACCCATGCTTTTTTATGAGTGAGATGTAAGAAGCTATTCTTCATTTGGGCTCTGCTAAATAGCGGTTGGATAAGGCCTTTCATGAAGTCATTACTTTAAGTTAGACTATTATAGAGTCATGGGCATCTAAAGATGCTCTATAATTGGAGCTCTAAGCTACTAAAGAGGAAGGAAAGAACTCTCAAGCGAGGATGAAGGCACTAAATAACTCTACTAGGGACTTCCAAAAATTTTTTAGAAGGTTAACAATTTTGTCCAAGGTGATTTTATTATGAGGCTATTCAATATGTTTTTCTTGGCTATTTCCCTTATGGGATTTATATGTTGTGATACAGATAATAACAAGATTTGCATTTCACAAAATGTGGGTTTCTTTGAAAATCATTAATTCTTTCTATTTTGTGTAAATTATGTTTCTTTTTCTGTTTTGCTCCCTTTTTTTGATAATGTATCTATTACTGTTGATTGTTTTAAGCCAGGAATTATTTATCAATGACGTAGCCCACTGCCTCTTTATACTTTCGAACCAACATCTGATCCTGGTTTACATGAGCCTTGACGATCAACTCGAGTTTCATGACCTTCGGAAAGGTATGTCTTCTTATATTTTGCTCTTTAGGCCACCATTGATATTATTTATATGCCTAAATCTTATTCCAAGGCTTCTACTCTAGAGTGTTGACAGCAAGCTATGCAAGATGAACTTGAGGCTCTTCAAGATAATTATACTTAAGACATTGTTCCTTATCCTTCTAGGTTAAAATCTATTGGATGCAAATAGGATAGAAGCCCATGGATCTCTTGATCAATATAAAGCTCGTTTGGTGGCACCTAGAAATTGATAGCAATATAGCTTGGATTATGAGGAAACATTTGCTCATGTGGCCAAGATGACTATTGTTCGTACTATTATGACCATTATCATCTTGAAAGGATGGTTGTTTCATTAGATGGATATGAAAAATACTTTTTTACATGGTGATCTAAAGGAAGAGATTTATATGACTCCTTCTTCTACTATGTTTTCTTCCTCTTTTGTTGTGGTTTTTTCACTTGAAGTGATCTTCATATGGTTTAAAGCAAGCACCGTGGACATGGTTTGAGAAATTTCATACTACTTTTTTGGATTTCACCTTCATCCAAAGTCGGTATGACTACTCTCTCTTCTTTTACAAGATTGATATTGGGATCATTTTATTTCTTGTGTATGTCGATGATATTGTGATTACAGGATCTGATTTGCAGTTGATTAAGTAACTTCAACAACAACTCAAATCTTCCTTCCATATGAAAGATCTTAGCTCACTACAATATTTTCTTGGTTTTGAGATCCGACATTATCTGACTTACATACTTTCGCATCAATATAAATATCCCTAGGAGCTTCTTTCCTTAATTGGTCTTTTAGACACTAACTCAATTCTTATACCTATGAAGGTCAACTTGAAGCTACATCATAAGAATGAAGATATCTTGCTTGATCCCTCTATGTATTGGTAGCTGGTAGGAAGTTTGAATTATTTGACTATTACCCAAACTAATATCTCATTTGATGTATAACAAATCAGTCGGTTTAAGCAAACTCCTTGCCAAACCCACTTAGACACTGTTTGTCGTGTCTTTTGATATCTCAAGGGGATATTTGGTTATGTTTTGTCCTTTTCTTTAGGGACTTCTTTACAATTGGAGGCTTATAGTGATGTTAATTGGGCTGGTTGTCCAAATACTCATCGTTCTTTTTTGGGTTGGTGCATGTTTCTTGGCAGTACTTTTATTTCTTATAAGAGTAAAAAGCAAGCATGTCTCTTAATGTCATCTACTGAGTCTGAATATAGAGCCATGTCATCTATATGTTTTGAAACCAGTTTGGTTTGGTTTTGGTTTTATAAGCATGAAACTAAAAAACAAATCGAACTGAAAAAACAAAAAAAAAACTGAGCTAAACTGGAAAAAATCAAGCCAAAACCGAAAAAAACCTAGCCAAAACTAAGTTGAACTAGTTTGTGTCCTAAAAAACAAGTCAAACAGAACCGAAACTAGTCAGTTTGATTTAGTTTTGGTTTTTGATAAAAATCAAACCGAACTGAAAATGATCACCCCTATCAAGGGCTATTGGGTGAACTTTGTGTTCTGCAACTTACTTTCACTCCTTTTTATGCTGATAACACGAGTGTTATTCAAATTGTTATCAATTCAATTTTCCATGAGTGCACCAAGCATATTATGATGAATTGTCATTCCATTTGTGAAGCACTTGCTTGCTAAGATATTACTCTTCCTCACATTTCCACCAAACATCAAACTTCTGACATCTTTACCAAGGGAATTTCCCGTCATCGCCATAAATTCATGATTGACAAATTGATGCTTTTTGATTGACCAACATCAATTTGAGGGGGGATGTTACTAGATTAGACAATATTTTGTATATAGTAATAATTTATATTTGCAAGATCTTTGTGGTTAGTAGAGCAATATCAGGTATTTATGTGGTTGGTGGAGCAATGTTAGGGATTTTACATGATTTGAAAGAGAAAATCATGCATGTAATTATAATAAGAATAATCTATTATAAAAAGAGACAGACATTTATTGAGAGGCATTGAAACCAAAACTAATTTCAGTCTTATTATCATAGTATTATAGCTTTGATGATCAAATACTCATGATTTTGAATCTCATCATTCTTATTTATTTAATAAAAATATAGCACAGTGTAACGTGGGTCTATGCAAATTTCAAATTCAAAAAACTTTCACTTGAGGGAGTATGTTAAAAAATAATATAATTTATATCTTGAACCTCGCCTAACACTATAAATTATTATTGAGATGATTTTTTGATAAAAATAAATAAAATCTCACCTTCATTTTAGTTGGGCGAGGGAACCATGGTGTTAGAAGCTGGGGGGTCAGATGCAATGTTTTAAGGAAATAGTTAATGGCTGGGTTTAGTGCCCAAGGGCAATTCTAGATTTTAGGTACTTGGAGGTGATTTTTTTGGTAATAATCGACGATGAATATAATCAGGCTTCATGTTTCGTATGGTAGGTTGCATCATAAAAGGTGAAATCATTGTCTATTTAACTTGAAAATTGAGTTGTCCCTTTACTATAAATACTTGAGAAGATTTGTTAGATTGTGCATACTGGTCAATTCAGATGTAGGATTGCTCCTAACAAAAAAGGGAAGCATGATTGGGCAGTCAAGTGGAAGTTGATGAAAAATTAAGCAGAAAAATTAAGCATTGATTAAATGAAGATTGGTTTGCTTTTCCCAGGAGAGAAAGCACTGGGGCAGCAGTGATTCCTTGAGAAAAGTTGTTGTTGGATTATCCATTCCATGACTGCAGAAGATGTTAAGGGTGACTGCAATAATTTGCTGATGGTTATGAAGTGGGTGGATTATCTATTTTGACTGGTCTCCAGACAGAGAATGGCTATGCAGTCATGCCATCTTTACCGCTATTTAAATTTATTTATGTGAGATAGCTGAGAACACGATATGACTTTGCTAATGTCACCATCAATGGTTGCTGAGTCGTTTGATTCTGCTGAATTATTTCAATTTCATATCAGGCCAATATCATGGAGCACAGACAGGTTTTAAATATCTCCATTACAATTCCTTCTTTTTGTATGACTTACTGTCTTAGTTCCTTGCAGTATTTTCCCGAGAGTATAGGCACACCAAGGAAGAATGAAATCCTGCTCATCGCTCCAACTGGGGAAGAGAGTAACAACAGGAAGCAATTGGAGTAGTACCTGAAGTCACACCCTGGCAATCCTGCAGTATCTGCGTTTGATTGGGGGCACTGGTGAGACCCCAAGAAGATCTGCAAGAATCAGCGAGAAGGCCAAGGCAACTCCTCCTGAGAAGAAGCACCCAAAGAAGCGAGGCCAAAAATCATCTGGTTCAAAGAAAGATGAAACGGGGACTATTACTGAAGAAACTGAGGGTGAGAATGAGGTTCAAATGCAAGATGCAGGAATTGAAAAGGGTAAGGCAGACGAAGAAAATTATGGTACAAGGGAAAACAGGACTAGAAAGAACATGAGAAACTAGGAGAAGCTGCCCCGGAGGAAGTCACCAAGGACATAAAGACCCGAGATGATGCTGAGGTAACAAGAATGGCAACGAAGGAAATGCTAAGGGATTCCAGCAAGCACTGGAAGTTAAAGAGAGAGAAAACGCTGGGGAAGCAGTAAAGGACAAAGCTGCTGAAGAAGCTGGTTCCAGTGAAGTGGCTGAAAATAGAGCCATAAGGTTGAAGACTTAGGAATGGGACTGTCCCTGCATCCGAGGGAGAGATCAAAGAAACACTGGATGTGCAGGAGGATGCGAAGCATATCTGGGGGGCCCTATGGGACCAACCGATGCCCCTCAGCATCCATCCCCCCTTTCTTTTGATAGAAATCTTAAGTTACAGAAACACTGTTTTGAGTATAGAAAAACAGATACTTAAAAGCAGAGTTGAAAGATTAATATATTTCATTAATTTCAAATGAATTAATTAAAACTCTCATCAACCTTCAGAGATTATTGGTTTTGAAATAACAAGCTTAA